CAGTCACATCCAATCCATCTCAGTCACATCCAATCCATCTCAGTCACATCCCATCCCTCTCAGTCACATCCAATACAATTAAATCGAATGGAATTTAAGAGTGGCATCTCAGTAAAGTGCCTCTTCATCCACTTACTGAATCAAAAATAACATATTTCAGAAATAACCTTTTCAGTAGGAGAAAAACCGGATAACGTAGGGCCCCTTTCAAAAACTGCTTTGGATACACGGGCTCCCTAAATACAGAAGAGAACCAACAAACAATCGTTCCTCCATGCAACACCACAAATTTGGAATACATGAAAGAGCAAAAAATACTAACTGTGCTATAGGACTTTCCATACTAACCTCTGATATTTCCATAAAGGGCATGGGGGATGGGGTGGTTGGCATCCATCGAAACCTTCGTGTTGTAAGGGGCTTCACAGACAGGAAAGACACTGCAACAACCCTACACCAGCTTTTGGTGGAAGTCAATGCCCAGGAGGACTCAAACAGGTGCGATACCTGGATTGTAACGAGTGTTCGTGTGGGAATGGTGGCTGTCAACACAAATGCTCCAACTACCGAGGTGGACACACTTGTAGCTGCTATGGTGGATACAGAAGAAAAGGCAGTCAATGCATTAGTAAGTGAATCTAACAATTTTACCACAAATGAACATTTTCTCGCTTAGTTTTGATTTTGATTTGTCTAGACCGTGGTAAATAAAAGAACATACGAATAGATTACGTCATAAAGTTACGCAGCCGGTGCGCGCTCGAAACCGTGTTTGTTTCAAACTTTTGCGTGTTTTTTTTTTAGTAGCAAAAACGAATTTCCGATGGTTTAGCGTGGTATTTTCATTTACCAAGATATGACTTCAATTGTTGGTCAAAATTGGTCATAACATTTATGGATAACGAATGACAAATGTGCAAATGTTATTAACTGTCAAAAAAATTATCATGATCATGATGTCATATCGGAGGCAAAGCGGAATGGCTGGAAGTAGAGAAAGAGGGCATTTTAAACTTTTGATGGAGACTAGGAGTCAAAGATATGTTCCTCACAGCAGCAACAAATTTGAAAACGTTATGAAAAGGACTGCTTTACTTCACGTCAAGTAACAAGTACTGTAACGTTAGATTATTTTTCAAAAGGAGGTCTTCTAACCGCGCTCTCCACCCTCCCTCCCCCTCCCCCCATAGCTCTCCTCCCTAAAAATGCTCCCATTCTGATAAGATTGTTTAACAACAATGACAGAATCTGTATGATCTTTCTCTACAGGAATTACATGCTCCACATCACACTGGGCAACACCGCAAAACGGCAGAAAGATCGGTTGTGGCGATGGGAGGAGGGTCAATATGGGTACGAGGTGTCGTGTGACGTGTAATAAAGGCTATAAGCTGATTGGACACAGTTCTGCTACTTGTGGGTCCACTAGTAACTGGATACCAAGTGCGTCTCCACAGTGTAAAGGTAATGTTGCCTGTTCTTGTACTCTAGTCTAGTCTTTTTTCTTCCATCTTTTTTATAATTTTGTCTTCATCATCACTGCCATCATTTGTTACACATTTATGATAACTGATTTGCCATTGACACCCTTTACCTTTATCATCATCATC